CACAGGCTTCCTGAGACAGGAGTCTACCCACCCTCACAGGCTATACAAAACAGCAACCTGCCCACCACTCCCTGCACAAAGGCCTGCAGAGCTGGGCGCCCAGGGCGGGCCAGTGGGTCTCAAAGAGTGCAACTCACAGGTTGTGTGTGATAGGAACTTGCCCACCCTCACAGGCTGCTCGAGACAGCAGCCTGCCCACTGCTCCCTGCACAGAGGCCTGCCAGGCTGGGCACCCAGGGTGGGACGGCAGGTCTGAGGGCGCCAAGAACCAGAGCAACTTGCTGCTATACTCTCAGAGCCCACTCTGCAGCAGGGACTGGAAGGGACCAGGGAAGGGGGACTGGGAGGAAAAAGAGGGGACATCCAGCCCTGACACCTGTGTGGCTGACAGGGTTAAAGACACCTCAGCAGTTCTCAAGGCTTCATGAGAAAGGTCAGGGGTGTCACCGCCCAGCTAGAGAAGGGTCCTGGATGAAAGCAGCCACAGTGGGGAACAGATGAAGTAGGACCAGGCCTAAGTCACAGAGGCAAAGCTGGAGGAAGACCCCCAGACAGACAGACAGCAGAAAGACCCCTCAGAAAGACAGCAGAGACCCCCAAGCAGACAGCAGGGATCCTCAGAGAGACACAGTGGAGACACCCCCCCGCCAGACAGATAGAGGAGACTGACAGTGGAGACCACCAGAAAGACAGAGGAGACCCTCCTCCCCAGGTAGCAGGGATCCTCAGAAAGCTGGAATCCCCAGACAGACAGACCTTGAGCAGAAATCTAAAGACGGAGGAAACCCACAGAGGGCCAGTGGAGACACACAGACAGACAACAGAGAGCTGCAGGAGATGTGCAGCCCGTCCCCCTTCCTGCTCCTTTCCTGAGGGCCTCAAAGGGCGGGAGGTAGGGACAGGCTGTGACACAGGATCTCAGAGGCCTGGCCACAACTGATCTGAGATTAAAACTGGACATGATATTAACATCTGAATAACCGAAACTGACTTGAGAGCTTAACCACTGCACCATCAGGGTAAAGAGAAGAGACAACCTAACAGACTTGGGTACAGTAATTTAAGGAAAAACTAGTAGGGAGAGGTTACACTGACATCAAGGAGTGCTGATGGCACAAAGGTTCAATAGGCACTCAGGAGCAATCCCAAAAGTCGAGGGTTTGAAGCCACCTGCAGGAGAAAATATCCGATGATGCTCTCCCTGGAGATGGCAGACTGACAAACCCTGAGGAGCAGGCCCCAGAGGGTCACTGTGAGTCACGATCCATCCCATGTCACACAATAACAAGACCCCAAGGTGACAGGCCCACAGTGGTTCCCCAGAAGTCTCACCTTCCACACAGCAAACCTGGGTTCAATTCCTAGCCAAGGCACCTCACACACAGCTATCATTCACCTGCCAGCTGTGCTCTGGTGGCCTAGCAGGTAAGGAGCAGCACTTCTAACCCAAAGGCAGGCAGTTTGAATCCACCAGCTCCTCTGAAGGAGAAAAATGGCCAATCCCCTCCTGTGAAATTTACAGTCTCTGAAAAACCGCTAGAGGGTCAACTAGGGGTTGGTTCTGACTCGACAGCATGTATCTTCTTTACCAGACTAAGACAGTCACGAGACGGCAGCATGTGTCCCCTTGTGTGAGGACTCAGCATGAGTCAGGGTCAGCATGGGGATGACCAGGCAGCGGAGACAGTAACACCCCATCCCCAGACGTGTGGCTGTGCCTTCCTCTGCACCCCTGTCCCTACCCTCCTCCCCATCCTCCACCCCATGACTCTCCCCCTCCCCCATCCTCCACCCCATCCCTGCTCTCCCCTCGACTCTCCCCACCCCCATCCTCCACCTCATCCCTGTCCTCCCCGACTGTCCTCCTCCCCCATCCTCTACCCCTTGACTGTTCTCCTCCCCATGACTGTCCTCCTCCCCCATCCTCCATCCCATCTGTCTTCCTCCCCATCCTCCACCCCCAACCATTCTACCCCCCATAACTGTTCTCCTCCTGGTCCCTGTCCTCCTCCCTCATCCTCTTCCTGGTCCTTGTCCCCCTCCCCCATCCATCAATGCACCTCTGTCTTCCACCCCTATTCTCCTCCCCATTTCTCCTCACAGCCTGCAAGCCCTCCTCTTTCCTAGGCCCTCTCAGTTGCTTCTTCCTCTGGGTGCTTCTCACATACACCTAAGTTTCCATTCTCTTAACCCCCGTGAGCCTAAGTACTTTGTTGATAAATTCTTGGAGAATAAGCTGGTCCCCTTAGAGGAGGGGATATTTTCATAGCAAGAAGCCTCTAATGATGCTTAAAGGATGAGCCTTCTGCTCCAATGCCACGAATGTGGGAGTGAGTGCTGGCACTGTTGGGAACAGGGTGACCCTTAATAAGTCCTTTAAAAAAAAAAATAAGTCCTTTAACCTCTCCGAGCCCCAGTTTCTTCTCCCATAGAATGGGAACACTCCCAATATCCCAATACCTTCTTCAGTGGATGGGCATAAAGCATATTCTAGTAATACTGTTTAGAACTGCAGGCAGCACGCAGGACATGCTTCTTAATTGCTAGCTATCACTCTGTCCTCTTCAATGCCAGGTTCACTTGCCCCTAGAAGGGTCCAGGCATCAATGACAGCAATGTTCCTTGGTAATGCCAATCTGATTAGGAGGACACATGCATGAGGCAAGAAAATGCAGTGCCAGGGCTGGTACCCACCAGTACAGACTGCCAGGAAAGCCAGGAGATGACAACACTCCACCAGGCCCTGGGCACCCCCGGTCAGTACCACCCTCTTCTGTCTTCCTCCTGATGAGCCTTATCAGGAGGAGCCTCTGATCTAAGATCCCATCCACAGAGGAGGCAGAGCCATGAATCTCGTCCCCGGACCAAGTGGCCCTGTCGCCTGGTTAGTTTTTCCCTTACTCAGCGTCCCCTCACCCCTCAGCAGCTGGCGTGGAAAATGTCCATCGCTGCACCTTCAAGTCTGGCATCTGCACGTGATCAAAAAGCAATGACTGCTCTTTCCTCTTTTCCCTCAAAAAAAGTACAATGTGAATGCCTTGTTAAGAGCTCTTCAAGGAGTAGGGGGTCCCTCTAACCTGTGCAGTTTGATCAAGCCACCACTGGTACCCTAATTACACAGCCACAGTGGCAGCCGACTGCCAGAACTGGTCTGAGAGGTTGAGTTACAGTTGAAACTCGTGGTCCAGGAAACAGGCAGAAACAGGGGTGCCTGACAGCCAGCACCTGAGGGCCATCCCATTTTGATAAGGTTTTAGTTGTTACCATACCAACAAGTTGATAGTGACTCATGGTGACTCTGTGGACCCACGGTATCTAATAATATCGCTAACTTTTCTAGCCAATAACACTTGCTCCACACTTTCCCATAGAGGTGCCCACTGCACAAGTCAATCCTTTCATCTTTCTGTTTTGAATCAATGGCATTTTCTTTTGAGAAATAGAGGTGCGCTTGTCTGTCCAGCGCCCTGCCCACCGGGTCACCTGCAGCAGGAGCAGCACATCTCCGTGGGCAAGCTTGGTGAAGATGGGCATTTAGTGCTTGCAAAGTCAGTGGAACCAGAGGCAGTGACAGGAGGATCATACAGAACTATTAAACCTTTCGATGGCCCTTTATGCAGTGTCTGCAAAGTGTATTACAATTGCTGGACTCTCATCAAACCAACCATTGCTTACAAAGCAGCAACCAGCTCACAGGCATGTCCCTCTATTAGCTGATTAACAGTACGCCTCATAAAACGACTCTTGGGTGCCCATAAAAGAGCCCCAGTAAACTTTTATTGGGTTTTCCTTTGAGCCTCTCAGGTGAGCCCAGCCGGAGATCCTGTAGCAGCTGTCAGGGGCTGGATGTTACCCTGGACAGCTGTTTAGCAATCAAGTGGAATAAGTAAGTTGATGTTCAGTAGTGCAGCAAAAAGAGGAGGGTGCATTCAAAACATCTCATCAATACCATGCTGTTCAGACTGTCACCCAAAAGAAAGCCAACAGGTGGTCCAAAGCTGGCAGCTACAGTGCACCAGACCTTTGCAGGTGGCGGTGGCCAGGTGCTCTGGAGAGAGAAACGCTGGGGGACCCCAATGATCAGCACCAACTCTTGTCACAAGGACGCTGAAGCAGTCAGAAAAAAACATTCTCACACAACTCGTCCATCAGCTGAGCTGACTGAGGGTGGCCTCCAGATCCCCACCTCCTCCCCCCGAATGGCCTGTCGGCAGAATGAAACTAAACCAATCCCAGAATTGGTGTCTTTTCCCAGGAAGGAGAGGTGAGATGGCCAATGGCCTCCACACTTCCACTGTGCCACCCTGCCAAGTGAGACCCATCAAGGCAATGGGGTGGGTCACCAGAAGAGATGTCACCCAGTGCAGAACGTCCTGGTGCCCTGCTCCGTGGACCTCTTCCTGTCCCAGGCCATACAGAATCCTGAGTGCCATCAATCATTCATCATAACCAGAAAACAGTCACGGATGTCGCTGTAAGTAACGTAAATGTAGTATTTCTTTTTTTTTACATCTTCCTATACTAAATTCCATTATTAGTAACTTGGACACTTTGATATTTTCCCTCCTTTTCCTTTAAACTCGCAACACACCTAGTGCTACAAGTTCACAGATTCTAACGTCCACAGTATTGCCGCTGAGAACACCAGAAATGGTGGCTATAAAATTATCTACAGTAATGAAACCTTCCACGTGGTTTAATCCACTGGACGGAGAGTACAGCGCGGACCTGGGTGCAACAGAAGGTTCAAAAAGTTGGCAGAGTTTCAGCCTCCCGGGAAGATCCGCGCTCGCAAGTGGAGCTGCCGGAAAATATTTTTATTGTGATAATTAACCGACTGCAAAGATATTTTTACAAAAACAACTCCTCTCTGCTTAAACGCCGCGCCGACCTTTTCTAGACTGGCCTTTTGATGCCACCCCCTCAAACGGTGTCACCTGCGACGGCCCGTGCGCTATCCAAGTGAGGCCACTTCCTCCAGGCGCCCCCGCACGGCTCACCTGCGTGAAGTACAAGTTCATGAGCGTCAGTGTGAAGAACTGTAGGCACACGGGGAAGCAATACAGCAGCCAGAAGAGGAAGGGACCCAGCGAGTTGGCCGCCACGAAGTCCCTGAAGTAGAAGGAGAAGAGGACGGTGCGCAACGAGGCCCAGAGCAGGCAGAGGAAGAGGAAGACGCTCTGGTAGCTCAGGCGCTTGTGGCGGTAGCGCAGCACCAGCCAGAGCTGCACGTAGATGAACGTGAAGAGCAGCGAGTAGAACACGGTGTAGACCACCGTCAAGCCCAGCTTCACGTACGGGGGTACCGCCGGGGTCAGCGTGGGTGGCAAAGAGTCATTACGCAGCGGGTCCCACGGCAGGGCCGCCATCCGGGCGCGGGGCGCTAGGCGCGGCCAGGGGCGCACAAGCCTCACCGACCCCCGCGGCCTCCGCCGCCGCCCCGCCTG